GAGGTTAAACATCTCACTATGTAAAAGTAACTAATTAGGATAGGGATTTGAGGGAGTAAAACAGTTGATTACTCTTAAGGAACCAATTGAGCTCTGATATAAAAAATCAAAGAGAAATGAAAATACACAAACACATACTGGTATCAGAACATATACCTATTGCATTGTTGGGAAGAGATGCATTGTGTAAATTGAACTGTACAATAAGATGTACACTAGACGGCAGTCTGGTAGAAGATTTTAAAAGAGTAGGGTTTTTGGGAATCTATTAGACTGCCTATTAGACAATCTGTCTGAAAAATAAAGTTAAAAGGGGTGACTGTTATTCTTGGTTACATTCCTACACCAAGAGGGGAAAGAGATTTCAAACTAGGCTAAAAGATGTTCGATCGTTTGCCAAGTCTGTGTGTAAAGAAGTCAGAAGCAGGTGGGGATTACCCAATCACATATTCTAAAAATTGGTGGTAAGGGCTTTTGTGAATAAATCAGTGGAAAGGTTGTTTTTTTTAAGTTAGGAGAAAAGATTAGATTAAAAAAAGTTAGGAGAACTAGGGTTGAAGGAACTCTAGGATAGTAAGCTAAGTTTCAATGTTAGTAGGAAGAGAGAGTGACACTAGTGGTGATAGATGGAAATACAAGTAAAGAGTTAAAAGTCTTAGGGAGAATGGATGAAGTAACAACAAGGACATTAACACTTCAGCATATTATAACAACAGTGAGAAGCAATTTAACTCTTTCAACATTGATAGTTATTAAAGCCATAAATATATCGCATTTGATTACAAGGGAGCAGATAGCTCCAGCATCAATTTTAGAGGAATTTCATAGTCTGGGAAGCCTATCATTGGAGGATAAGTCTAAGAGAGAAGTGGGGATTTTTTCATGGTATGGTGTAAAATTTGGGAAGATCATATTGATAATATTACCTATACTTTGATTCCAGATAGTTCAGATAATATCACTAGTGTTATAGATGCATTGAAGGAATATAAGGGATGCATTTGGTAGATCTGAAGGAGCTGGATGGTCAGTGAAGTCTTGGTTGCAAGATCAGTTAGGCCCAGTGGGAGCAGTGATGGTTCAGATTTTAATATCAGCTTTGATAGCACTGTGTGTGATGTTTTTCTTTGGTAATTTGTTACTGACCTTTGAGAAAGCTATGATATTGAGATGGGTTGGAGTTGTGATGCCTGGAGACAACACTCAGATGCCGTTGTTGACTGTTCCTGATCTGGATGAAGAGGGACAAGTGGGACTGGATGGAGTATTGATGGATAAATATCCTTTTTGATTATTTGATCATTTTTCATTTTTTTTTTTCAATATTAGTGTGATTTTAGTATGTTGTTATGAATCAAAGGGGGGAAATAGGATAATGTGATTCATATATCATTTATATATCATTTTTATATTCTTAGTTGATATTGATGTTTTAATTTGAAAGTGTTGTTTTGCAAAATATACTGTTTGGTCTTTTCTTTTCTTCCAGAAGCATTTGGGGGAATATGTAGAGATTGAAATACTCAAACAAGGACAATATGAAGCGACAATATGAAAGGAGAATATGAAGGGACTGGAGGAGATGGAACAAGGAAGGTGTGGAAATGTTCCAATTCCATCATCGAAGATGCATTGGAAGTCGACACTGCTGGGGAGATGAAGTGTAGTGGACTACATTCCAGTGTCTGCAATGAAATATAGACATATTTGCATGTGTAATACATAATTTGTGTCATATTCTTTCTGTATTAATTTTTGTAGAATGATATTTGATGTTATTGAATAGATGTGGGGATCTTAGATGTTTTTGTTTATTTCGTGAATGCTTAGGGACATGGAGTCTAGGCAGGGATAGAGATCCACTGTAGGGTCCGTTGGGTCGACCAGCCTTAGTGTGGATATTTTTTGGATAGTATTTTGTTTGCCGGGGCTTTCATGTGTATTTAATTGCATCATAGTTTCAAATGCATTGATAAAGATTTATGAATTGATCTGGAGTACCTAGGTGGTTGCCTGGGGCAGAGGGGCCGTGAGAGAATTTTACTGTCTTGATTGATGGATGGATATTTGGAAAGAAGGCTGCCAGACAGGTTTTTCGCTCTCACACTTCATAAAGATTTGTTCATATTTCATAGTAATGTATTCACACTTCATAAAGATTTGTTCATATTTCATAGTAATGTATTCACACTTCATAAAGATTTGTTCATATTTCATAGTAATGTATTCACACTTCATAAAGATTTGTTCATATTTCATAGAAAGGTATTTACACTCCAGAGGAAAATGTTTTTGGTTTATGGTTAAAGATACTCAATAAGAGAAATTGTTACTTGTCATAATCCTATTCTGTTTGTTTTCGAGACTTTTAGTTAGTCTCGAAGGGGGGAATGTAGTGTATTAAGATTATGATTTGATATGGTTTCAAGTGGAACCTGGGAGGATGTTTATTTAGTGTCAGAGGGAATTGTTTTAGTGTGACGCCACATAGGACAGAGAAGGCTGTGTGTTGTAGACAAGGGATTGGACAGTAGAGGGAGCCACCCATATTTTGGGGAAGATTATATATACTGGGTTTAAACGAAGAAGAGCAGAGCGGCCATTACAATTTGGGAACCACTGCTCTCCGGGTGATCTGGACACCTGTACACTTATGCTGAAATCTTGTGATATGAATAAAACTTATGATCAAAGTTCAGTATAAGCGGACTCCTTTGTTTAACAGCAATAATTAGCAACATTGACTCAACACTACAACTGCTTCCTGTCCAAAGTGGGAACACATCCTCAATTATTCAAGTTATGATTCTACTGATTAATCATAACTTGACGTATATTCCACAATGTTTTGTGGATACATATTGGGACACACCATAAACACTTTCCTTACTCATCAACAACTATAAAGAATATTCCGCAGAAAAAAAGGAAGCCATTATTGACAATGAAATTAATGTGAGGATGTAACATAATAGAGATCTAGGCCACTGTGATCCTTCAGTCCCTATTTCACAGACAGTCTGGTAGATGAATACCTTGGCCTGCACAGTGTCTTGTAGAAGAAGGATGAACAGGTCAACCAGTTGTAACCCTTACAAACAACAATGCAAACAACAACACAAACAACAACGCAAACAACAATGCAAACAACAACACAAACAACAATGCAAACAACAACGCAAACATCAACACAAACAACAACGCAAAAAACTACACAAACAACAACGCAAACAACACCACAAACAACAGCGCAAACAACAACACAAACAACAACCACCACAAACACATGGCTGGTCCAGGCTGGAACAACCCATAATAGCCCATAGAAAAACTTTTAAAACAAATTCTTCACATTCTCTTCAGAAAGGGAAAAGTGAATGCGAAGTTCAAAATAATTATAGTGACAGGGGGTTCATGTTCATCTGTTGAAAGTAAGGCTATAAAAAATAACTGAAACTTTCCATATGTAGCCCATATTATTATTATTATTATTATTATATTTATTATTACTATATATTATTACTATATATTATTATAATAATATGTGTTATTCTATGTATTATTATTATATATATTATCATTATTATATTTATTATTATTATTATATTTATAATAATAATAATAATAATAATAATAATAATAATAATAATAATGTATTATTATTATACTATACATTATTGCACCTAAATCTTGAAATATCTACTACTAGATGAACAGACAGGCATTTAGTGCCACCCTGTGGACACCATGTTGCTCAACATCATTGACAGCCTAATTCTCTAATGCACATCATTACCACTGAGGGAGCTAGAGATTGATTGCTGTTGCAGGCCTACCCTTCATATTACTGAAAATATATTTAATTTAGTTCATAATGCAATCTTCATTATGTGTACATTACTTTTTTTGTGTACATTCTCAACACAGTTCAAAAGTCGAAGGAGGACAACAGTAGTATATTTAAATTGCAGTTTTATTAAATGATCAGATTTTCAGGTATGCAAATGTACAGTTTATGTTGTGGTTTCCATTCACCAATGTGTTGGAATACTACACAGTGATTGTATGGCTCTACTAGTCCTATGAGCACATGCCTCATACACCTGCGTGTGAAAAGCAGAAATCATTTAACAGACACGTCAATAAATATTACAAATACAATTTGAATCATATATACATTTAGCCTTGGACATGATGTGCTGTGTGTTGATATTATAAGGGTGGAATGTGCAGATAGTGTAAGGTAGCCTTATACCGTTTGGATATGATTCTGGTCTCAACTATAGGGTGTATAGCATTACTATAATAGTATTAAAAGTTCTATTAAAAAATATATATAAAACATGTACTCATAAACCACCATTTTTTTACCTACTAGTGACAACAGCAGCTTCCTTCCTTATCACAAGTGCTGCTAAATAAGTCTTTGTTATGTATTAATTGTTTACAATCTAAACCAAAAAAACAATATGTATTGACATCAAAGCATAACAAACTATTCAATTTCTCTTTATTACCAAGCAGCGAGTACAAATGTGCAATTAACGCTCAAGAGAGTGGATTTACAGGAAAGTCACTGTAGAGTTAGTATTGTTTTCTACATTTTCATTCATTTCTATCCCCTTTCCTCATTGGATAAAAAAGCAAAGCCAAAATCCCATCTTTAAGCTTCAGATAGACCTTTTAAATTTTACATGACCGACAGGCTCTGAACTGGAATGAGTGGTTTTATTATAGCAGGATTATGTCACACAAGTGTGGCAGGTAGTCTAGCGGTTAAGCGCGTTGGGCTAGTAACCGCAAGGTTGCTGGTTTGAATCCCCTGGGCCGACTAGGTGAAAAATCTGTCGATGTGTCCTTGAGCAAAGCACTTAACCCTAATTGCTCCTGTAAGTAACTCTGGATAAGAGTGTCTAATGCAATGTTCAACAGGAAAATCTCTGTAGCATAGCTTTGGGATGTGCTAAAGACTAAGGGAAACAAAGATCACCTGACTATCAAGATCCTGGTGCTTGTTTGAGGAGTAAGTCTTGCCTCCTTTTCTCAGCTAGGAGCTCTTGTATTCTTTTGTTCCGTGTCATTTCTCGGAATGGAGGCCGTCTTCTAGGAACAAAGTAGTTTTGAGAGACATCATTGTCTACACCAACGATCTTGTACGGCACCTCCAGCCAGTTGTTCTCTCTCTTGTCCTCTGTCCTGTGGGGGGGTATGGTGGAGGGCACGCGTATCACACTGACCCTACGCTGTGTTGGGATGGTTTTCCATCTCTTGTCTACTTTAGGTCTGGAAGTGGATGGAGCCAGGGTTGTCCAGGACTTCCCCTTAATAACATCAACCCAAACTGTGGTGGACTTGGGGACATTTGTAGTTCTGAGAGTCGATGGGCCCTGACTGGTGGGGACTGTGGTGGGTTCTGTGGTGGGTTCTGTGGTGGGTTGAGTGGTGGTGACGGTGGTGCTGGGATCTGTAGTCTCCTCATTGGTGGTAGGGAGAGATGTAAGACTCCTGGAGGTAACCGAAGGGGTGGTTGTTCTTCTGGGGCTTCTGGTGGTTAATACAGGGGTGGTGGTAGGACTATATTTTATTCGCTGTGCTGTGCTCGTTGGTTTTGGTTGTATACTCCTCATAATCGTCGTAGTCGACATAAGCAAAGTCAGTGGTATAAAGCTCAGTGGAGGGTTTGGGTGTGTGGGTTGTTGTGGGGGTTGTTGAGCAGGAGCCGTTGGTGAGGGTTGGACCAGGTAGTGTGGTGTACCTCCAGGGCCCAGTGGTGAAGGTCTGGCCCGTAGTGGTGGTCTGGCCCGTACTGGTGAAGGTCTGGCCCGTACTGGTGAAGGTCTGGCCAGTACTGGAGAAGGTCTGGCCCCTACTGGTGAAGGTCTGGCCCGTAGTGGTGAAGTTTACCTCGCTGCAGGACTTGCAGCACATCTGTCTGTACCCAGGGTTGGAGCAGTACATGCTGAGAATCTCCATACGACAGAATACTGACCTATCTCCCTTACACAGCCCTGAAACACAAAGCAGCACACATCTCAGAAACACAACACAACCTCAACCAGAAAACTATCCCAAAGAAAGGAACAGCGAGGGATTCACAGGAAAGCCTACAGTGACTGAGAAAGCAGAAAAGGCAAAGATGCTGAATCAGATGTAAAGATGTCAAGGGTAAGATAGCTGTATAATCTGTCAGGCAAAAAGTTGACCGTTTTATTTGTTGGGTTTGAGCTTTACTGCTGGAAGGAATGAGACACCAAAGTCACATGATACACTCTCCCTGTCATATATGTGAAAGCTGTCTATTCAGTAGAGACAGTTGACAGTTTGGTCAACAGTTTGGTTAAGATCTGCATAACACTGGTAAGCCAAAACAGATGAACAATAACTGATATACTGTACACACTGGTGATCAAGTGAAACAATAAATATGTCCTGTTTGTGTAAAAGGAACAGCACATTTAGTGTCTCATGATATGCTTAAAAACTCTTAACCCAGTCCCTCTAATAAAAAATCATTTTTGGCCAATATATAGTAAGGAACACATATTTCCAGGCCTTAGCTACAAGTTGGCTGATGAAAGCACACAATTCATTGTTGTCACCAAGTTGAGAAACTTAAAGTCATAAATGCTACTGAATACAGGCAAAATGATTTTATATATTGTAAATACTCTCAAGTCGCCGTTTAAATCTTGTTGACACATTGTTTTCCCCACAGCTGCCAGAATTTAGCTTGCTACATTGCCACAATCATGATACAATGACCATAAATGACGATCTCTGTTTTGTCCATGAAGGTGCTGTGAATCCATGTGGTTGTAAACATCAAGTAATTTTTTCTTCCTCAGGAAGCTTCTCCTGTTCCTTATCACAAGAAAAAAAGACATTATTTCTTAATTTCTCCCTACAGCCTAATATAAGACAAAGCTATTTCCAGATGTTTATGACAAAATTACGGCATGAGGTATCAGAGCTAACTAGGTATTTTTGACTAACTAACGCCTTACAATGTTACACAAACACACAAGCATATTTAGATAAATAAGGATACATTTTAGTGTCCTCTGTCTACCGCACAAAATGTATTGACAGTAAAATTCACAGTGAACGTGAGAATAAACCATACTCACCTCCGCGTAAACATTCTGCTCTGCTTACTTATATTAATTTCCATATTATTTAATGCTCATTAGATGTTTCACTTTAAATATTTAGGTAGAATTGATACAAATACACATACGGTAACAGCCAGTAATAGAGAGGCAGAGTAACTCACACCTTATTTCTGTGGAACTATTTACGTTGATCATTGTGTATGCATACTGTATAACAATACAACGTTATTGTCCATGTTACAGCGAACAATGGAGTTGTGTCTTCTGCTCCGTTCTCAACGCCCCTCAGACACCAGTTACGGAGTCAGCTTCACCTTTGTGTTAACAGTCATGGAAGAAATGTCTCTCCCAAAACAACTCCCCAGCTTCTTGTTATCAAATCCACTGCGTATCTCCATATTCACTTCCGTTGAGTTTCCCAGATTCAAACCCAATAACACGTAACCAGTGAGCAACTCCATATACAGAGGCTAGGCCACGATTATAGTCTCACAGGCAGGACTTAATAGAGCCTTATCAGAGATGGAACTTCCATTTCTCTCTTCAGTGAGGATTTCAAGGCCAGCTTTGCAGCCTACAGCACAGTCAGACCCCTGAAGGAGAGAGCGTGTGCTGTGCGTGTGAGAGAAAGAGCCAGAGAAACAGAGACCACAGCACAGGAAGTCTCCCTTTCTCAGCCAGACAGAGAAGCCACAGACAGGCAGGCAGGAGCCATCCTCCAGTGTAGAGGAGAAGAGGAGAAGAGAAGAGAGACAATGTCAGGGCATTCTGCCCCGCAGAGAGAGGCAGAGAGAGAAGGGTAAAGTCCAGGTGAGCAGAGGCATGCAGCGGACTCCTCGCTCCGAGCTATAGAGGGGATGTTTACTTGAGGAGATCTTGGGAGCAGGGAACTCTGGGTTGGCCCGCGACAGCCACTGGATCAAAAAGTTTCTTCCGTCACCTGAGAACAAAACAAACAGAATATGATGATGTGAAAATCTATTAATATTGTTTCAGTAATAAATTGTTTCAGTACTTGTGTTCAATAAGTTAAGCCTTCTGATTGGACAGTCACCTGTGCAGGGGACTAGCTGGCAGGTTCTGAGTGTGATGGGTTTGGCCTCCATGCAGAGTCCCACTGAGTTATCAGAAGTGTTGCACAGAGCCTGGCGCTCCTGGGTCCCGTTGCCACACGTCACCGAACACTAAAAAATACACACGCATGCACGCACACACGCACACACACACACACACACCTCTGAGTTCAAGATTCCATGGAAACAAGTGTTTGCATAGGAATGCTGTCAGTAATAGTGGAGAAATATTCACGTGGCTTTCAACACATACTCACCTGGGACCAGGGTCCTGCACCCCACTTGGCAGAGCACAGCTGGCGGTTGCAGGGTCGTCTTCCCACTGGCCTGTCATCATTACAGTACTTGCTGTGGATGGTACGTTGGCCACCGCCGGAGAGGGGCTGCAGACAGAAGACAGAGCGGGTCTGGTAGCCAGTCTTCCCACAGGATGAACTACACTCCTCCCAGTCCCCAGTGATCCAACTGGAGATTAGAGCAGACACACACACACACACATCACCGTACAGGAGGAGTGGGAACAGAATGACTTACTGAGACACAACAGGAATATTAATAGCTTATTTACAGAATTGGTAATACAATAGTTACATAGAACATTCACAGCGCACGGCCCACACACAGACACAGACACAGACACAGACACACACACACACACACACAGACGCACACACACACACTAATGCATTCACATACACTGGCTGGGAGCACTCTTTCTGGCTGCAGTCCCTGCTGATAGCTCGGGGCTTGTCGATGTTCACACAGAGGGTGCGGTGGACCATCTTCCCATCTGACTTTCTCCTGCAGCCAAACCTTGTGTACTGCTTACCTAGAGAGGGCACAGAGTGTACACACTACCACTCACAACAACAAATCAATCAATCAATCAAATGTATTTTATAAAGCCCTTTTTACATCAACAGTTTTCACAAAGTGCTTTACAGATAACCATCCTAAAACCTCTTTAAGCAAGCAATGCAGAGGCAGAAGCACCAACAACGTTGGTCAACATCCAAGGTTATTTGGCAGTTGAAGACAGGAGGAGGTTATGTTGTTACCTCCACAGGGCCTCGAGCAGTGAGACCACTTCTTCAGAGCCCACTCAAAGTAGGCTGTGTCCTCCTGCACCAGGTTACTTTCTATGGACGACTGCAGCTCTTCGTGGAGAAAGTACTTGTAGGAGAGAGTAACTTTGGAGTCACCGTGGGAACGGATCTGTGGGATGGAAAAGATAATGTAAATTCCAAAACGATACACTTGTTCACAGCTGAACTCTGATACAATTGAAAAAGAACAACCAAATCACCTAGTGATTGCTGACATCAACATCCGAACAAAACAGACGATCGATGAGCCGAATCATGGACGCTACACTAACCAATCAGTGTTGAACACAACACAACAGCCATTAACGACTAATAGTAAGTTGTAGAGCAACTTGAGATGTGGCAAACATTACAGCAACAATGATATGCACCGGTACCCCCCCCTGTATATATAGCCTCCCTACTGTTATTTTATTTTACTTCTGCTCTTTTTTTCTCAACACTTTTTTTGTTGTTGTTTTATTTTTACTTTTTTATTAAAAATAAATGCACTGTTGGTTAAGGGCTGTAAGTAAGCATTTCACTGTAATGTCTGCACCTGTTGTATTCGGCGCATGTGGCCAATACAATTTGATTTGATTTGATTTGATATTGGTCCATTTTCTGTAACTACTGTGGATTTTCTGTAACTAACTCTTCATGAGGCAAACAGATGCGCTGAGGTTTTAGCCAACAATATGGCTGGATAGTGAATACTCATTACACAGAGAACATTTCAGGTTGAATTATTTCCTGAAGCTACTGCTATATTTCTGTTGGTGGGGTGGTTTTTAACTTTAAGTGGATAAAGACTAAACCATGATACCAAAAACATTACTCTGTGGCATAATGTAATGGGCGGGATCTAAACCCAGGACACCTACATCTTGACCGTTAGACGATGAGGACATTTCCTCTTGGGTTGATGGTGACACTTATTTTGAAGTCGCAGGAATGTCTACCTCATCCCGAGACCATGAGCCTGACTCATGTTCGCTACACATGTGCACATCAATACAGGTCATCTCAGTCATTTGTACTGGCCAGGGACCTGAGTGTAAAGAAATGACTCACCATGACCAGAACAGTGTATCTGAGAGGTCCTGTGGTCTGGACGGTCTCCATGTCGTCATCGTTGTGGTACTCCCACTCCACCCCCTTCTCTATCACCGTACGGGACTCTGGGAAATCGTCCTCATCGTTCAGGAACAGATGACCTGTGGCCTGGTTCTTCACCGCTGAGGCATGTACAACAAGGAGAACAGCATGTACTGATTTGGCTGAGCTCGGATTTTCTCAGCTTCGTCATCATGGCAGGGACAAACCAGAGACATTTGGCAGGATTATGATAATGAGCACCAGGGCCTGAATTGACTCAACCTAATCAAGAAGAAAGTTAAAGTTGGTATTCCTCAAAAAGGTTATTGGAAATGTTCTTAAATTATTTCTTAATTTTCTCCATGATTAAAAAGTTAAAGATGAAATTAGATTCTTGAGCCAGTATAAATGAGTATCCGCACTGGATCTCTTCCCAGCAGTCCAGATGCACTATGGGCAGCCGACTAAAGTATTCTGTACTCTCAAACCCAACGCAGCCAAAACTTGACTGAAACAGCAATTAATAACAAACTTCCTTAACCAAGCCACAGACTACTGATTTATAGAGGCCAACATCCTGGATATTAACGAGCCACTCTGATATTCACAGAAGCAACATAAATAAACCTACCAAGGATGTGAGGGGTCGCCTTGAACTCCTGAATCAACAGATGTCTGGCCCCTCGAGGGATTTCAAGTATCTTGAGGAAACCTGAAACAAATCACAAACAAAATACAATAGATGAACAACAGTCTCGTCTTGGTATTAAAACAGCTTCAGATACTGAGAAAAGCATCCCTGTGGATGTTGACACAATGTCTCATATCTGAGATTGTAAATGTGTATGTGTGTGTTGGGGGTAGGTGTCATGTTACTGGAAGTGAGGGTAGAAGAAGTTGAGGAAGGGCTCACCTTCCTTTTTAGCGCTCCTAGTGAAGTTCCCCTTGATGATCTTACAGCTGGAGTTGTCTCCACCACAGATCCCACACTTGTCCTCCTGCATGTCTGACGCTATCTGGTTATCACAGCCCACATGCTGTAGAGAGATAAGCTGAGTCAGTGTATGGGAATATGGGATCAGGGAGAGGAGTGGACCTGGATTGGTCATTCAGGACAAAGAGATTATTTCTGACAGAATACAAAATCCTCATTGACTTAAAACCTCCCCCCATTACAGTCAACATAAAAGAGTGAGAGAGAGAGTGAGAGAGAGAGCGAGGAGAGAGCGAGAGAGAGTGTGAGTGAGGGTGAGAGAGAGAGAGAGGGAGAGAGAGGAGAGAGTGAGAGAGGAGAGATAGGACTATGAGAGGGCTCGCCATCCGTTTGCGCTTTTCTCGCGCTTCGCTCTGCCTGCTGCCCTACTCTGCTCTCTCGGCTCTCGTCGATTCTCTCGCCTCGCGCGCTCGCGCCTTGCCGCGCGAGGCTCCTCTGCTCTCTGCTCGCTCGCGTCTTGCGCTCTCGCGTCTCGCTCTCGCTCGCTCGCGCTTCGCGCTCTCTCGCTCTTCCGCCCGCTCGCTCCTCCCGCTCGGTTCCTCTTCAGCAGCGCGATCTGCGAGAGAGTGACAGAGACCCCTTGCCCTTTTGGTCTGTGAGGTCTGGTGTTCGCCACCAACCAAGATTCACAAATGGGACAAACACCAAATTGAGACTCTGCATGCGAATTTTGCAAAAATATCCTCTGTGTACAACGAAAAACACCAACTAATGCATGCAGATCAGAATTAGGCCGATAACCGCTAATGATCAAAATCCAGAAAAGAGCCGTTAAATTCTATAACCACTTAAAAGGAAGCGATTCCCAAACCTTCCATAACAAAGCCATCACCTACAGAGAGATGAACTTGGATAAGAGTCCCCTAAATAAGCTGGTCCTGGGGCTCTGTTCACAAACACAAACAGACCCCACAGAGCCCCAGGACAACAACAACAACACAATTAGACCCAACCAAATCATGAGAAAACAAAAAGAGAATTACTTCACACATTGGAAATAATTAACAAAACAACAGAGCAAACTAGAATGCTATTTGTCTCTAAACAGAGAGTACACAGTGGCAGAATACCTGACCAGTGTGACTGACCCAAATTTAAGGAAAGCTTTGACTATGTACAGACTCAGTGAGCATTGCTATTGAGAAAGGCCGCCGTAGGCAGACCTGGCTCTCAAGAGAAGACAGGCTATGTGCACACTGCCCACAAAATGAGGTGGAAACTGAGCTGCACGTCCAAATGTATGACCATATTAGAGACACATATTTCCCTCAGATTACAGAGATCCACAAAGGATTAGAAAACAAACCCCATTTTGATAAACTCCCTTATCTACTGGGTGAAAACCACAGTGTGCCATCACAGCAGCAAGATTTGTGACCTGTTGCCACAAGAAAAGGGCAACCAGTGAAGAACAAACACCATTGTAAATATAACCCATATTTATGTTTATTTATTTACCCTTTTGTACTTTAACTATTTGCACATTGTTACAACACTGTATATATACATAATATGACATTTGAAATGTCTTTATTCTTTTGGAACTTCTGAGTGTAATGTTTACTGTTAATATTTATTGTTTATTTCACTTTTGTTTACTATCTACTTCACTTGCTTTGGCAATGTTAACATACGTTTCCCATGCCAATAAAGCCATTCAATTGACATTTTAATTTAATTTAATTGAGAGAGAGAGAGAGAGTGCGTGACTGAATATGCATGTGGGTGCAGGGGTTCTCATCAGTATGATAAACAGTTTATCAAACCTATATGGAAAACAGGCCTAACTACCAGAGGAACTAGCCAGTAGCAGCAGATTGTATAAGACAATGTAATGTTTATGGTAATATTTAATGAGGAGGATAATGTTCCTTCATGCCTTCATGCATGACTTCTGGATACAGGCCATAAGACCTGGGCGATGCCTACCTCACAGTCTCCCCGCACACAGATACTGTAGGAGTCTTTGTAGGAGCAGCGTGTGCCATCGTGAACCATCCTGTTCATGGCCACCACGTCTCCTGTCTCCTTGGACTGGCAGTAGAGTTGGCATCTCTCATCAACTACAGTACAGAGAGCAGAGGAGCGGGGGGAGGGGGGGGGGGGGTCATACAGTACAGTAGCCTTCAGCTTTCTTTGACACCTGTGTTAACCTTTCGAACAGGCTTTCATTAAGGTAGTAACGGTATGTCTTGTTCTAGAGAGAGATGCATGACTTCACTTGAGTCCCTTGCATGGTAAACTGTGGAAACAGTTGTGGCCGTATTCCTGTCCATTCCCCACTAGCACAAATGAAACCATCTGAACAAACAGTATTTTGAATTCTATATTATAAACTGGGTGGTTCGAACCCTGAATGCTGATTGTTCTGAAAGCCGTGGTTTACCACGGGTATGACAAAACATTTATTTTTACTGCTCTAATTACGTTGGTAACCAGTTTATAACAGCAATAAGTCACCTCTGGGTTTGTGGTATATGGCCAATATACCACGGGTAAGGGCTGTATCCAGGTACTCCGCGTTGCGTCGTCCATAAAAACAGCCCTTCGCCGTGGTATATTGGCCATATACCACACCCCCTCGTGCTTTATCGATTAATTATACTATGTCTGCATTCTTTAGTCATGATGATACACATGTATGACTATAACAACACAGTAGTGGAAGAGTCAGGGAGTAAAGAGAACCTTCATTAATAAAGCGAATCAAAAAAAGCAATAATCTTCCCCCGTGGAGGAAAGCAGGAGATTCCTGAGTAATGACATTTCCATGTGTCCTTCTTCAAACCAACGTTCCCTCGACATGTGGCGTTGGCCTGCCTGTGTGTGTGTGTGTACCAGCAGTGCTGTCTGTGTGTCTGTTTGAGCCGGGCCTCTCAGATTTCCCAGTAAACCAATCAGTCCCCAAAACCCAGGTTTACTCTTCTGATCCCACTCAGAAAAATCATTATGGTAATGAGACTTGAGCTACTGGGTAATACACTGTGAAGCCATGTGAAGTAGTGTGGATGTCAGTACAGCCAGATGCCTATGCTCCTCCTCCTCCTCCTCCTCCTCCTCTTCCCCCCCCCTCCTCCAAACACTCCTCCTCCTCGTCCTCCTCCTCATCCTCCTCCCCCTACTTTCCTCCTCCCCCCCTACTCTCCTCCTCCTCCCCCTACTCTCCTCCTCCTCCTCCTCCTCCTCCCCCTACTCTCCTCCTCCTCCTCCTCCTCCTCCTCCTCCTCCTCCCCCTAACTCTCCTCCTCCTCCTCCTCCTCCTCCCCCTCCCTCCTCCTCCTCCTCCTCCTCCCCCTACTCTCCACCTAAAGCTAAGCTGTCTGTTTTGCTTATGTAACTTCAGAGTTTTATAATGGTTTGGCATGGAAGTCCTGGCCTCACAACGGAAAAATGAGAGCAGTGGTCTACACTTTTTCCTCTCTCTGCCTCAACAGAACCTCCAAGCCAACTTCTGAGTAAAAAACACATCTGGCCTGAGTGGTAACAGCTGCTGTGAGGGCATTATAAACCTCCTATCCTTACTGGTCCAATCTCTGGACAGTCCAGAGGGAACAACATGCACAAAAAGTACTAATCAAAGTGGAGAGGTGATAGGATGGAGAATATCCAACTCTTATTATATTCAGCTTCTAAGTGTAAAAATATGGCAAATAGTTGGGTCTTATGTTTTGCATGTCGAACATATTGTGTCAATTTTGTGAGTGTACTTGCTTAAACGATGCTATTCACAATGTATTTAACGTATGGGACAGTCAAGACAGTGGTAGTTATGCTATAACACAGTCCCCATTTTTAAGAATAGGGCTAACGTCAGTCTGAATGAACGTTTCTCTGGTCCCTTTTTCAATGCATTTTGACTCCCAGCCAGTCAGCGCTGTGGACTTACTGTCAGGATGCTCATAGGGCAGCCAGTGGTGCTTGGTGTTGTCATACTCAAAGTAGGGCTCCCACATCTTGCACTGCTCCTCCCTGAAGTCAACCAAGGGCTTGGAGCACTCCTCTAGGTTGCACAGCTGGAACTCATAGCTGTTGCCATAGCAGGTGCGTCCTCCATTGGCAGGGCTGAGTTAGGGCAAAGGAGAGAGACAGCGGGAGTTCCTTTACATTTGAGACATTACAGATGCCTTCCTATCGTCTTGTGCTGTACTCACATTGGGTTGTCACACTGACGGGTCCGGAAGCGCACACCACCCCCACAGGTGCGAGAGCAGGAGCCAAAGTTACTCCACTGGCCCCAGGCACCATCCTGCCTCAGAATGTCTGGGGTCAACTTGATGCAGTAACCCTTGAAGCAGTGCTGAAAGAGAGGGAAAGAGAGGAAGAGAGAGAGGAGAGAGGAGAGAAGGAAGAGAGAGAGAGAGAGAGAGAGAGAGAGAGAGAGAGAGAGGAGAGAGAGGGAGAGAGAGAGAAAGGAAGAGAGTTGTCACTGCATATGTTGACACAACATTGTAGCAAAGCACTAGCATGTAAAGAGGAACCTTTCTTACTTTCCCTGGTGCACACTTAGTGCCGTCGATGGGCGGACCCTTCTTGGTTTTGCAGAAGAACGGGTTGTCTGGGTGACTGCACCAGAGCTGCTTGCAGGGGTCGTAGGTGCCGTACTAAAAGAAACAGATTCATGCTCTCTCTCAGATGCAGATAACATGTCAACCAAGAAAACAAACTATAGTGTATGTACACAACCGTCCAACATTGTCGTTGGTGGAATTCACTGAATACGATACCTGTCCAATGCATCTCTAATATTGTGAATAGTTGTAAGCTTAAACAAGATATGGTTTACTCAGAACAATAATTAATACTGTCATTAAGGACGTCTATGTTAATATTTACATTTTGTGAAGTACAAACATTACCAAGGCCATTCAACAAGACATTAAACATGTGGTCAAATCTGATGCACCAAGACATTAAACGTGGTCAAATCTGATGCACCAAGACATTGAACGTGGTCAAATCTGATGCACCAAGACATTAAACATGTGGTCAAATCTGATGCACCAAGACATTAACGTGTCAAACTCTGATGCACCAAGACATTAACATGTGCAAATCTGATGCACCAAGACATTGAACGTGGTCAAATCTGATGCACCAAGACATTGAACGTGGTCAAATCTGATGCACCAAGACATTGAACTGGTCAAATCTGATGCACCAAGACATTAAACGTGTCAAATCTGATGCACCAAGACATTAACAGTGTCAAATCTGATCACCAAGACATTAAACATGTGGTCAAATCTGATGCAACCAAGACATTAAACTGTCAAATCGATGCCCAAACATTGAACGGTCAAATCTGATGCACAAGACATAGAACATGTGGTCAAATTTGATGCACCAAGACATAGAACATGTGGTCAAATCTGATGCACCAAGACATTGAACATGTCAAATCTGATGCACCAAAACCACCATTTTTTTTTTACATAGTGTCACGATCGTCATAATGATTGGACCAAGGCGCAGCGTGATATGCGTACATCTTTTTAATAGTGTACTGGCAACACGATACAAAACAACCAAACGAAACGTGAAGTCCTCGGTTAACAACACAAACCAACACGGAACAAGATCCCACAAAACACAAGTGCACAACAGGCTGCCTAAGTATGGTTCCCAATCAGAGACAACAAGCAACAGCTGATTCTCGTTGCCTCTGATTGAGAACCACCCCGGCCAACATAGAAAACACATGAACTAGAAACTGAACATAGAACACAAAACATAGACCCTACACACCCTGGCTCAACATATAAGAGTCCCCAGAGCCAGGGCGTGACAGTACCCCCCCCCCCAAAGGCGCGGACTGCGACCGCGCCAACATAAACCCAACAGGGGAGGGGCCGGGTGGGCATTTCTCCTCGGAGGCGGATCCGGCTCCGGGCGTGAACACCACCCTCTAACAACCCCCCCGTAGCGCCCCTGGTCTGGTCCCGCTGGCTGGAGCTGGACTGGACATCGGTGGAGCGGATTGCTTAGGCTCCGGTGTGGAGCAGCTGACCGATACCTGACCAGGCACCGGTGAAACAGGCACGGGCTGTGCCGGACTGACGACGCGCACCACAGGCTTGGTGCGGAGAGCAGGAACGGGCCGGACCGGGCTGGCGACGCGCACCACTGGCTTGGTGCGGGGAGCAGGAACGGGCCGGACCGGGCTGACGTCGCGCACCACTGGCTTGGTGCGGGGAGCAGGAACGGGCCGGACCGGGCTGACGTCGCGCACCACTGGCTTGGTGCGGGGAGCAGGAACGGGCCGGACCGGGCTGCCGACGCGCACCACAGGCTTGGTGCGGGGAGCAGGAACAGGCCGGACCGGGCTGACGAGCGCACCACCGGGCTTGTGCGGGACAGACCAGCGGGCCGCTGACACGACACCAGGCTTGGTGCGGGAGCAGGAACAGGGCCGGACCGGGCTGACGAAGCGCACCACTGCCTGGTGCGGGGAGCAGGTACAGGCCGGGCCGGGCTGGCGACGCGCACCATTGGCTTGGTGCGAGGGACAGGAACAGGCGGGGCCGGGCTGGCGACGCGCACCATTGGCTTGGTGTGCGAGGGGCAGGAACAGGCCGGGCCGGGTGGCGACGCGCACCACTGGCTTGGTGCAGGGAGCATGGAACAGGCCGGGCCGGGCTGGCGACGCGCACCAATTGGCTTGGTGCGAGGTGCATGAACAGCCGGTCCGGTGCTGGCGACGCGCACCATTGGCTTGGTGCGAGGGGCAGGAACAGGCCGGACCGGGCTGGCGACTGCGCACCATTGGCTTGATGCGAGGGGCAGGAACAAGGCGGGCCAGGGCTGGCGACGCGCACCATTGGCTTGGTGCGAGGGGCAGGAACAGGCCGGGCCGGGCTGGCGACGCGCACCATTGGCTTGGTGCGAGGGGAAGGAACAGGCCGGGCCGGGCTGGCGACGCGCATCACAGGCTTGGTGCGAGGGGCAGGAACAGGCCGGACCGGGCTGGCGACGTGCATCACAGGCTTGGTACGAGGGACAGGAACAGGCCGGACCGTACTGGGAACACACACCACTGGCCTTGTGCAGGGATCAGGAACGGGCCGGACCGGACTGGTAACACACCTCAGTACCTCTCGCCGTGCCTCTACACTCTCCTTCCCTCCAATGACCAATGGCCCCCGTAACCTGGTGGCCTTCTTTCCTAGTCCACAATCTCGCCCTGTAGCTGCCTCCAGCAGCCCCGTCGTCCATGCCGTGTGCCCCCCCCAAAAAATGTATTGGGGTTGCCTCTCGCCTGTCCGACGACGACACTGTTGGCGCCGTACCTCCTCTATCGCCAGGGCTTTAACTTTAGCCCATGGCCCTTTGCCCGCGAACATATCCTCCCAGGACCACCATTGGCCCACCTGGGCCATCGCCAACCTCTCCAGCTCCTTACCCGGCATTTGCTCCTGGAAACGCTGCTTGGTCCTGTTTTGGTGGGATCTTCTGTCACGATCGTCATAATGATTGGACCAAGGCGCAGCGTGATATGCGTACATCTTTTTAATAGTGTACTGGCAACACGATACAAAATACAAAACAACCAAACGAAACGTGAAGTCCTCGGTTAACAACACAAACCAACACGGAACAAGATCCCACAAAACACAAGTGCACAACAGGCTGCCTAAGTATGGTTCCCAATCAGAGACAACAAGCAACAGCTGATTCTCGTTGCCTCTGATTGAGAACCACCCCGGCCAACATAGAAAACACATGAACTAGAAACTGAACATAGAACACAAAACATAGACCCTACACACCCTGGCTCAACATATAAGAGTCCCCAGAGCCAGGGCGTGACACATAGTCTGTCCACGAGAGATTACTCACAGCACAGTACAGTCAGATACATTCGCAGGAGTATGTTTCACGAGTCACGTCTTAACTACAGTGATTTAGACTTAAAATGTTAAAATCACCCCATCTTTGCTTACTCCAATACCATCAATCAAAATAACAACCTGTGTGAGAACATACATGTTACCTGACCCTAAGGACATGGAAAACATCATGGAGGCATGTTTACGTGTGTGTGTGTGTGTGTGTGTGTGTGTGTGTGTGTGTGTGTGTGTGTGTGTGTGTGTGTGTGTGACGTGTGTGTGTGTGTGTGTGTGTGTGTTTGTGTGTGTGTGTGTGGTGTGTGTGGTGTGTGTGTGTGGGTGTGTGTGTGTGTGTGTGTGTGTGTGATGTGTGTGTGTGTGTGTGTGTGTGTGTATACACATGAAGACAGATCTGTAAAATACGTCACCTTACAGTCCACCAGATGCATAATATATTAGCCCTGATCGACACAAAATACATTAATGTCACAAAGACTAGACAGTGACATGGTTAAACACCCTGGCAGACACCTTAACAGCTACATGGTTTGTGGACAACATTCAACAAAGAAGTTATGGACACAGTCTTGTCTGACCTAGGTTGATCCCTTACCTGCTTTGCTGAACGGGCCGCCCTTCGCAGCTAAGGAAATAGTTTGACAAGAAAGTGAAGCAAAGTGTCCAATAGGCACTCCCTCCAATTTACTCCAGAATGTGATCCAGAAACCCGCTGTTACAGCTGTTTTCATTTTCTTCTTTCCACATCAAACAAAAACCATCTCTCCAAATAGTTCAGCCTTCTTGAAACTAAACAATGAAAAACATTTCAATATAACTGACTCTGAAATGTGGTTTTCCTCTTCAGAGAGGGACAATTAAACTTCAGCATTGTTTTGTATTTCTTCTTTTTCATCTAAAGAGGTCATACTGCACCAACATATCTGCTTTTAACTCAGGTCATACTGCACCAACAGATCGAGTCAGCCTGCTTTGAACTCAGGTCATACTGCACCAACAGATCGAGTCAGCCTGCTTTGAACTCAGGTCATACTGCACCAACAGATCGAGTCAGCCTGCCTTAACTCAGGTCATGCTGCACCAACAGATCAAGACAGCCTGCCTTTAACTCATGAGTTCATAAAAATCATATTTGTTCCCCTGGATGCCTTAAAAGCTAAGATGGTATCCCGTTTTATGGCTAACTCTGACCTAGTCAAAGTGGTGAAGGAGGAAGTCAAGGAGGATGGTCATTAGAGAGACGCTTGTGTGAAGCTCAGGCTCTGTTGGATTGGGCCCAGATGGTGGCCTTTCTAAGGGATAGATATTCAATTAAATTGGTAGCAGCACTAGACACTGCTGGTGTGGCGACTGGTCAGCTTGTTGGGCATACGGGTACATATGGCTGTGAGGTTGAGGAAGGACTCACCGCCTTGCACATGGTGTAGCCGGCGCCAAAGTCAAAGCGACACTGCTCGTCCATGGAGTAGTGGATCCCTGGTAACTGTGGCAACGCCGGCCAGTCATGGTCGAAGGGGTCGTCACGGAGACAGTCATACGAGCTGTGGGAGGAAAACATATTAATTGGAGTTGAAGGGTTTGGTTTAGATTTCAGTGTTTCACACTGTAATCCCATAAGGCAGGGGTGTCAGAAATTGTCAAATTTGCAAAAAACTGTTCTCTATCCATCTTTTTTTGTTTTTTAATTTTCGATGCTCTTTGACTGTCTAGTGATTATTGGCGAGCTGGACAATCAAGAAACTCTATGAATGTAGGTCCATTGACTGTGCACAGTGATTACTAGCGAGCTGAACAGTCAAGATCTGTATGAACATAGGTCCATTATCATTTCTACACAGTTTCGATGTTTGAAACCCCTGCCATAAGGGATGAGCCACACGGCTGCAATACACACACAGAAACCTCCCTCCCTCCCTAATTAACCTCATCTAATCTGTAGAAAACCATTAGACAACATAAAGCCATGTTATCTGGGGGTAGAGATGTGTATGTCCTGACTGTGGGACCAGAGAGAGGTGAGAGATCAGGATTGATCTGGACTCACTTCAGGTACTTGTTGAGCTCCGCCTGACTGCATCGGGACCAGTGGAAGCGATGGAAAGCAGCCTGCACCAGAGGGGCCATGATGCTGCCCATGGGCACCTCGTCACCACACTCATTACCAGGGGGGCCATCATGCTCCATACCCAGCCTGACAGGGGAGGACAGGATTGCGTCAAATAAACAGTAGTCTGGGAGTATGCATGCATGTGTACTGTGTGCTGTATTCATTTTCAATAGAGTTTCTTGTTAACCTACAAAATGTAAATGCATCTAACTGTAGTAATACATGTGTTTGGGTATACTGTGTGTTGAACGGTGTGTGTATAAGTGTCTCACACGTGTCCAGTCTCGTGTGCCACCACGAAGGCAGAGGAGAAGCCGTCCTCGTGGTTGAGAGTGCAGCTCCGCACTGGGTGGCACATACCCGTCACGGGAGCGTAACCTATGCAACGAGAGAGAGAAAGAGAACGAGAAAGAGAAAGTATAATGTTTACTCTTAATGTCTTTGTTCTGTTTAATTCGCTTTGTTTGTCGTTGTTGTTCTTGTTTTGTTTTTTTTGTCTTTGCAGTAAACATGTTTCCCATCCATAACCCTTGATGATGATAGGAAGAAAAGGGAGAAGAAAATGTGAGAGACAGTGATTCGAGACCATAGCCAATTAAGCCCTGATGAAGCAGGAGAGAGGAGGGAGAGAGTGAGGAGAGAGAGAGAGAGAGCGAATAGAGAGAGAGAGGGAGAGAGGCGAGATAGAGAGAGAGAGAGAGAGAGAGAGCGAGAGAGAGAGAGATAGATATAGAGAGCGAGCGCTCTAGCGATACGAGCTATAGTGTCAGAGCGCGGAGTAGACCTGCGGAGTACTCTCTTCTCGAGAGCTTCGAGGTCTCCTAGAGCGCACGGCGCGAATTAGAAAAGGGTTGTATTCTGTATCCACACACCTGATGTGTATATTGTATGAGAGCACATTAATAAGTATGTCCAGTACCTTGCATGCCGGAGGGGCCAAACTCCTGTCTGGTGAGGAAGATGGCGTGGTCATGGTACTCTGCATCATTCCTGTCTTCCTTCTGCTGCAGGAAGGCCCAGCGACATACGTTCTCCAGACTCTGAGACGGGTTCCCCAGCTCTATCAGACTCATAGACTGGAGCCAATACAGGAAAGGACTAACTGTCACCACATCACCTTAGGAAACGACTAACTGTCACCACATCACCTTAGGAAAGGACCAACTGTCACCCCATCACCTGAGGAAAGGACCTAACTGTCCCCCCATCACCTCAGGAAAGGACTAACTGTCACCCATCACCTCAGGAAAGGACTAACTGTCACCACATCACCTTCAGGAAAGGACCAACTGTCACCCACATCACCTCAGGAAAGGAACGTCCCCTCCCGGGCTAACTGTCCCCCCCCTTGAAAACAATTCCCCACCTTCAGGAAAGGACAACGTCCCTCACCTCAGAAGACTAACTGTCCCCCCATCACCTCAGGAAAGGACTAACTGTCACCACATCACCTTAGGAAAGGACTAACTGTCACCACATCACCTTAGGAAAGGACCAACTGTCACCCCATCACCTCAGGAAAGGACTAACTGTCACCACATCACCTCAGGAAAGGACTAACTGTCCCCACATCACCTCAGGAAAGGACTAACTGTCACCCCATCACCAGGAAAGGACAACTGTCACCCACTCACCTCAGGAAAGGACTAACTGTCACCACATCACCTCAGGAAAGGACTAACTGTCACCACATCACCTCAGGAAAGGACTAACTGTCACCCCATCACCTCAGGAAAGGACGAACTGTCCCCACATCACCTCAGGAAAGGACTAACTGTCACCACTTCACCTCAGGAAAGGACTAACTGTCACCACATCACCTCAGGAAAGGACTAACTGTCACCACATCACCTCAGGAAAGGACGAACTATCCCCACATCACCTCAGGAAAGGACTAACTGTCACCACATCACCTCAGGAAAGGACTAACTGTCACCACATCACCTCAGGAAAGGACTAACTGTCAACACATCACTTCAGGAAAGGACTAACTGTCACCACATCACCTCAGGAAAGGACTAACTGTCACCACATCACCTCAGTCCCTTCTTACAAACTCTATAAGTGGATGTTGACAACATATTTGTATATTTCCCAGTATGTCTGCAGTGCATTGAAAGGGCTTTTCCCCCAAAGTATTCCTGGCACATCCTGCTAGCAAGTAGGTGGTACTCTTAAATTCCCTCATTAAAATGCAAATCAATTTATAACATTTTTGACATGTGTTTTTCTGGATTTTTGTTGTTGTTATTCTGTCTCTCACTGTTCAAATAAACCTACCATTAAAATTATAGACTGATCATGTCTTTGTCAGTGGGCAAACGTACAAAATCAGCAGGGGATCAAATATTGTTTTCCCTCACTGTAGTAACAGGGTTTTACAATTAAATGCACTGTTACCAAAAGTAGATATAGTATAGGTGGATTTATTTTTATTTTATATATATAATTTTTTTTTTTTATTATTTGCCATTTTAAACGTTTAACAGACAGACAAGGAGAGGGCACAACACAACAACACAAACTGACCTCCTACCACATCAACCCCCACACCAAACCCCTATGCTCCAACAGAGCCCCACCCCAATCCCAGAGTACAGGAGGATTCTGACATGGGGATCAGTCTATCTCCTACAGGTTACATCTGCTTACCTTGGCAGGACACAACATGATGATCCGGACCAGAACCACATTGATGTGGGCACCCAGGGTACCATCTTGGTAAATCTCATTCACCTGCAGAGACAGACAGACAGACAAATAGACACATGTGGCCTGACTATACAGTACATGATCTTATACCACAGAATTGTTGAATACTCGTTTCTGATTGGCTAGAAATACATTCTAGAGTTGGCATTAATACCAGAAACATGGACATTTGGAATGCATATCACCTGCCTGACGTATTTGAGAGAGGCCGGGGCGGCAGGTAGCTTAGTGGGTAAGAGCGTTGTGCCAGTAATCGAAAGGTCGCTGGTTCTAATCCCCGAGCCGACTAGGTGAAAAAATCTGTCGATGTGCCCTTAAGCAAGGCACTTAACCCTAATTGCTCCTGTAAGTCGCTCTGGATAAGAGCGTCTGCTAAATGACTAAAATGTAAATGTAAAATATATAGTGCAGGAGAAGACGGTTAACGGGACCCTGGTACGTCTCCATCTGACATTGATATGTTGGAATTTTATCAATGCCTCATTAATTGGCACCCCAGAAAATGCACCTCTTCCCCAGAAATGCTCCTCTTTCTAGAAAAGCACCTCTTCCCCAGAAATGCTCCTCTTTCTAGAAATGCACCTCTTCCCCAGAAATGCTCCTCTTTCTAGAAATACACCTCGCTCCTCTTTCTAGAAATACACCTCTTCCCCAGAAATGCTCCTCTTTCTAGAAATGCACCTCGCTCCTCTTTCTAGAAATACACCTCTTCCCCAGAAATGCTCCTCTTTCTAGAAATGCACCTCTTCCCCAGAAATGCACCTCTTCCCCAGAAAGGCTCTTCTTGTAATGTCATATAAATGTGTCTCTCTCTCTGAGAGGAGGTCCTATTCAAAACGTCTCCACACATACACTTAGGGTACAAAACATTGGGAACACTAATATTGAGTTGCACCTAGGGCTGTGGCGGTCACGAAATTTCGTCAGCCGGTGATTTCAAGCAAATAACTGTCGGTCTCACAGTAATTTACCGTTAATTAACAAACACATTGGGAATCTCCTAGCTTCCACACATAGCCTACAAGCCACTGATGCAGACTTTTGGAACATCCACATTTTAAAAAGTTTAATAAATCCATGTAATATAGCCTACACCTTCACAATAAATCCATTATGTATTTTAGACAGGTCTAAAGAAGCATGATATGAAGAAAATGTAGTCTATTTCAGAAGAACATAATAGATACTCTGAGTTGTCCTTTTGTTGCGGGTGTAGAATTTCACTACACACGCAATAACATCTGCTAAATATGTGTATGTGATTTGATTTGATTGGATGTTAGGTCCTGATCTGGCTATGCCAAATGGCTGTGGGCTACACTAGTTCATTTAGCAGACAAGATTTGCTTAGAATAAAAAATAATGCCACGGAATTGAACAAAGCAATTGAACAAAGCTGAATAAAACGTAAAGGATATTTTCTCCAAACAATTTGAGGGAGTGCGCACATGCGGCTATTCTGTGTTGAGCGGTTAACAAAGAAATAGGTCCTCCTATATGCTTAATTTAAAGTTATTAATGTAACTTTAGTTGTTCTACAAACATTGGGCAATATGTTTTGATTTTTAATACATTGTAAGGCTGCATGATGCGACTCTAATGATGATTTGAAAAAAGTCACTTGAAAGGCATGAGCTCTGCTTTGGTGTTTTTTGCGCAGGCTGTACACACTTCATCAGTCTCTCATTTACAATTTGACAAGCACTTGATAATGCCTCGAATTTCACGGCGGCATCCCCTCTTTGTGTCCGTAAAGCACCCTAAATAGATCCATGCCTTTTGCGGCCAGTGGCCGTTGTGCCCTTGGCCCGGAGTGCTGCGTTGTGCCCTTCTCTCTGAATGCTGCGCACACTGAAGCATCTCTCACTCACATGGCTCTCCATCACCTGATCGGATCTTTCATACAGGCTACAAGTGAAGACAGACACATCGGGGACGCAACTGCGCGTGTCCTTATCCAATTCCGAGGTGCATATTGAAGATATTGGAAGAACTGTCCACATTCACTTTTCGTCAGCCAACAAGATGAGTAGGCCTAACGAACAGTAAAAGCACTAGCCTACGTCAATTAACTATCCCCCATAGTACAGAAGTCGACCAATTCTATTCTGTGCAATAAATAAATATTCCAAATCAGTCTGGGACAGTTGTGGGATGCGATAGATCCCAAATTAATACAACCACTAGCATCAAACTTTTTTACGCAATGTGGCTGACGCAACAGATCAGAACGTTTAGCTTAAAATGTTAATAAACTATTAGGCTATTTCTTCACATTATAAGCACAGCAATGCACACATGGCAGTAGGCTATAAGCAGGAATGTTCCATAAACAGGAAAACACCATTATCAAAAGTGACCGCAAACGCAATTATGCATGTAATGCTTTTATTATAAAGGTGCATTGTTATGGTGAAAATTATCTTCCCCAAACTTGAAACTCACGCTCTGCTTAAGTTAGGCTCTACACCCCTTGTAAAGTGGATTCATGTGCTTAATTTTAAGAAGTTATTTGGCCAATTTATCAAAACATATAGGCCTATGGGCTAGGCTACATGAGGTGTCCTTCTTTAACCTTTAACCTGATTCAAAAAGTCGGAAAAAAACGGCATTGTTTTTTATGTTGGGCATCATTCACAAGTGATAATATATAATTCACAAGTGATAGGCTAATATTGTCACCCATCAGACTATTCTTGATTTAATCTTGCCTTTACATATACTAAATAATATATGTGTGAAATTTGTTTTGATTTAGAATGGACCATTATCATGTACCTGTATCGAAACAGGGGCAGCGGGAAAAAATGTCATCTATGCACTTAATAAGCAAATGAAGGATGCTTTTCCCGTGGTTCATTTTCATGCCAGCCAGAGAAGCAATGTGCTTAATATTAGAAATGTTGAGAAATAAATATAGTAGACCTAGCCTATAGAAAGCTAGAGGCCATCACTCTGTTTTCTCCTGCAGTTGCATAGCCTATAGAAATGTTGCACAACATGAGCTCATGGGCTCTCATGAAATGTTCGATTAGATTTTCGATTACATTTGCATTGATGTCAGAGTGATTAGAGGGACAATAGAGTGCTGACTACCAGGCAGTTAGCAAGTTTGGTAGGCTACTAATGACCAGCAGCAGCATCAGAGCTTGGAGAAGCCTAATTACCGTGACTAAACGGTCATGTGGAATTTGACTGCCTTCATGACTCGTGACCGCCGGTGTGGCGGTACTACGGTTACCGCAACAGCCCTAGTTGCACCCACTTTTGCCCTCAGAACAGCCTCAAATCATCGAGGCATGGACTCTACAAGGTGTCGAAAGCGTTCCACAGGGATGCTGGCCCATGTTGATTCCAATGCTTCCCACAGTTGTGTCAAGTTGGCTGGATGTCCTTTGGGTGGTGGCCCATTCTTGATACACACAGGAAACTGTTGAGCGTGAAAAACCCAGCGGCGTTGCAGTTCTTGACACAAACCGGTGCGCCTGGCCTGGCACCTTCTACCATACCCCGTTCAAATATTTTGTCTTGCCCATTCCCCCTCTAAATGGCACACATAAACAATCCATGTCTCAATTGTCTCAAGGCTTAAAAATCCTTCTTTAACCTGTCTCCTCCCCTTCATCTACACTGATTGAAGTGGATTTAACAAGTGATATCAATATCTGCCTGCCTGTCTCTCTGCCTGCCTGTCTCTCTGTCTGTCTGTCTGTCTCCCTGCCTGCCTGTCTCTCTGTCTGTCTGTCTGTCTCTGTCTGTCTGTCTGTCTCCCTGCCTGCCTGTCTCTCTGTCTGTCTGTCTCTCTGTCTGTCTGTCACACCTAAGTCTCTGTCTCATTATTCACTTACTCATCTTCCTGTCCAGGCCAGGGCCCCTGGGGAGGAGGCCCACAACACAGTGCAGGGAGAGCGAGGAGTTATCTGTGTGTGAGAGAGAGATGTAGAGGTATAGAGGGAGGGCAGTCCCCTGTCAGATAGATAGACTGCTCTAATGAGGCCAGGAGAGGACAACAGGGAGCAGATAGAGACTGACTGACTGACTGACACACTGACTGACTGACACACTGACTGACACACTGACTGACTGACTGACACACTGACTGACACACTGACTGACTGACTGACTGACTGACTGACTGACACACTGACTGACTGACTGACTGACACACTGACTGACACACTGACTGACTGACTGACTGACTGACTGACTGACACACTGACTGACTGACTGACTGACACACAGACTGACACACTGACTGACTGACTGACTGACTGACACACCGACTGACTGACTGACAGACTGACTGACTGACTGACACACAGGCTGACACACTGACTGACAGACAGACAGACTGACTGACTGACTGACACACTGACTGACACACTGACTGACAGACTGACACACTGACTGACTGACACACTGACTGACTGACAGACTGACACACTGACTGACTGACTGACTGACAGACAGACTGACTGACTGACAGACAGACAGACTGACGGACACACTGACTGACTGACTGACACACTGACTGACTGACACACTGACTGACTGACTGACACACTGACTGACTGACTGACACACTGACTGACTGACTGACTGACAGACAGACTGACAGACTGACTGACAAACTGACTGACACACTGACTGACTGACACACTGACTGACTGACAGACTGACAGACACACACTGACTGACTGACTGACTGACAGACTGACTGACACATTGACTGACTGACAGACTGACAGACTGACACACCAACAGACTGACTAACTGACAGACAGACAGACAAACAGACAGACTAACTGACTGACAGATTGACACACTGACAGACTGACTGACAAAAAGGGATTATTTTTGTTGAAAATTTGAGTTCCATGAAACAGCTTGGGAGTTTGACAGTGGGAGACAGAGGTGGATGGAGACAGAGAGATAGAGAAAGCGTGAGAGAGAGAGAGAGAGAGAGAGAGAGAGAGAGAGAGAGAGAGAGAGAGAGAGAGAGAGAGAGAGAAGAGAGAGAGAGAGAGAGAGAGAAGAGAGCGCGCGGAGGAGGAGCAGGGAGCGAGACGAGAGAAGAGGGAGAGAAGAAGAGAGAGAGGACTCGAGGGATGGAGGAGAGAAAAAAATGGGATAATGCAAAAACCAACTCTGAAGGAAAATCTTTAGCTGTATTATCATATCAGATTGAATCTATTACACATGTGGCAGCCATCTTACGATTTTACAATGAGCCATTACAGGGTTTCTTGACAAAGACTAAAATGACAATATTATAGAATTTGCGTTGGAGTTCAGATACCTGATACACTGAATCCTCTATGTATTATGCAATTGAATGCAGTTGAATTGGCACCAATGCACAAGACTCCAAAGGGAGTCTATCAGAGCCGTTAAGGACCAGTCACCAGTCACCAGTCAGGAGAACACTGCCTGTCTCCCTCATGCTCTCTAGCTCTCTCTCCTCTTCTTCTACATAAGTTGCTAAGCAACCTTCAGAATATGTCCTTGGTAGAAACCTCCTGGGGCCCGGGGCTGGGCAACTCACTCCTGATGGGCGGGGCCAGCTGCACCTGAGCCTGTCTGTCTGTCTGAATGTCTGCAAATCAAACTTTATTTATACAGCAAATTCCTAACAGAGGATGCATTTCAAAGTGCTTAACAAATAAAATAATACAAGTTGAGAAAGATAAAAACACAATACAGTGAGGGAAAAAAGTATTTGATCCCCTGCTGATTTTGTACGTTTGCCCACTGACAAAGAAATGACCAATCTATAATTTTAATGGTAGGTTTATTTGAACAGTGAGAGACAGAATAACAACAAAAAAATTAAATAAAACGCATGTCAAAAATGTTATAAATTGATTTGCATTTTAATGAGGGCCCTAAGATCATCTGGCAGGCTGTTCCAAAGACCAGGACCATAGTGACTGAAAGCAGCCTCAAAGTCCAGGACCATAGTGACTGAAAGCAGCCTCAAAAACCAGGACCATAGTGACTGAAAGCAGCCTCAAAGTCCAGGACCATAGTGACTGAAAGCAGCCTAAAAAACCAGGACCATAGTGACTGAAAGCAGCCTCAAAAACCAGGACCATAGTGACTGAAAGCAGCCTCAAAGTCCAGGACCATAGTGACTGAAAGCAGCCTCAAAAACCAGGACCATAGTGACTGAAAGCAGCCTCAAAGTCCAGGACCATAGTGACTGAAAGCAGCCTCAAAAACCAGGACCATAGTGACTGAAAGCAGCCTCAAAGTCCAGGACCATAGTGACTGAAAGCAGCCAAAAAAAACAGGACCATAGTGACTGAAAGCAGCCTCAAAGTCCAGGACCATAGTGACTGAAAGCAGCCTCAAAGTCCAGGACCATAGTGACTGAAAGCAGCCTAAAAAACCAGGACCATAGTGACTGAAAGCAGCCTCACCAAAGACCAGGACCATAGTGACTGAAAGCAGCCTCACCAAAAGTTTTGGTTCGGACCTTCGGAACGACTAAAAGACCAGTGCCAGAAGATCAGAGGGACCGACCAAGCACGTATGTTAAAAATATATCAGACATGTATTCCGGTTCAAGGCCATGTAATGCTTTAAAAAATAATTAAAGCAATTTTAAAATCAACTATAAAACTAACAGGCAACCAATACAGGGACTTTAAAACGGGTGGTATGGGTACTCTCTTTCTGGTCTTAGCTAGCACAAGTGCTGCAGCATTCAGAATGAACTGGAGTTGGCTAATGTTTTTAATAACACTTTCTATGAAGTACATGCTTTATAACACCCTTTATAATGATCTATAACACTGACTATAGGCATCTATAATAACTCTGTTTGTCTGTCTGTCTGTCTGTCTGCCTGCCTGCCTGCCTGCCTGTCTGTCTGTCTGTCTGTCTGTCTGTCTGTCTGTCTGTCTGTCTCATAATATTTCTGTTGACCTGAGTGGGGGTCACTGAACGGTCACCACTGTCAGGCAGAGCAACATGATTTCTGGGTGCACCGTTTTAAGTGAGAATTGATTTTGTTGGATTCAACCTCTTCCTCTGCTTCAGTGGATAACATGTTACGGCTAAATGACTCCTCTCAATGAGGAATAACAAAACTGTCCTACAGTGTGTTTCTGGGCCGTGCATTTGATCTTGTTTTTCATATAAGATTTCACCGCTGATATTTCTAGAAAATGAGCTGTCATGAAGCTTTCCAATTCATGCAGAGTGAATAGTACTCTACTGAATCAAGAGAAATAGTAAAGGCCTGCTGTTACAGATACAGCTGTGAAGCCATTTCCTCCCTTGGCAAAATAAAATAATCATATGATCAGTATTTACAAGACTCCCATCACACCCGTCTCTCTATGTTCCTCTCACACGAATCTCCCGTCCCCCGTTTCATTCCTCCCCTCCTCTCTCCATATCTCTTCCTGGATCTGCCCCCTGCCCATGCCCCCCACCCCATCACCAATCCTGTGTTAATAACCCTTGCAGCAGGGCCCTCATTAGCACCGGCCCCTGTCCTGACCCACCGGAGGGCTTGGGCTGGATTCTGTTAGCTCGTATTCACTAGCTAGGTAGCTGGCTGATTCTGTTAGCTCGTATTCACTAACTAGGTAGCTGGCTGATTCTGCTAGCTCGTAATCACTAACTAGGTAGCTGGCTGATTATGTTAGCTCATATTCACTGGCTAAGTAGCTGGCTGATTATGTTAGCTCGTATTCACTGGCCAGGTAGCTAGCTTATTCTGTTAGCTCGTATTCACGAGCTAGGTAGCTGGCTGATTCTGTTAGCCCGTATTCACTGGCCAGGTAGCTGGCTGATTCTGTTAGCTCGTATTCACTGGCCAGGTAGCTGGCTGATTCTGTTAGCTCGTATTTACTGGCTAGGTAGCTGGCTGATTCTATTAGCTCGTATTCACTGGCCAGGTAGCTGGCTGATTCTGTTAGCTTGTATTCACTGGCCAGGTAGCTGGCTGATTCTGTTAGCTCGTATTCACTAGCTAGGTAGCTGGCTGATTGAAGCCGGAGAGGCCAGAGTGCTAGAAAATCATTATAATAAAATTAATAATGCTACAAGGTCTCACACAGGATCTACTGTACATTCATCTGAGGAGAAATGGGTGGTGGAAAAGGCTAATATTAAAAAGGGGAAAACACATGAAACACATGGAAACGTGAAGCACAGGTTGGAGAACGATTTTGTGGCAGAAAAAAATCACCTCAGAGGTGGAAATGGAGTGTAATGTAGTGTAGTGTAATGTAGTGTTGTGTTATTACATTTACATTTTAGTCATTTAGCAGACGCTCTTATCCAGAGCGACTTACAGTTAGTGAATACATCTTTTTTTTTATACTGGCCCCCCGTGGGAATCGAACCCACAACCCTGGCGTTGCAAACGCCATGCTCTATCAACTGAGCTACATCCCTGCCGGCCATTCCCTCCCCTACCCTGGGCCGATTGTGCGCCGCCCATGAGTCTCCCGGTCGCGGCCGGCTGCGACAGAGCCTGGATTCGAACCAGGATCTCTAGTGGCACAGTTAGCACTGCGATGCAGTGCCTTAGACCACTGCGCCACTCAGGAGTACAATGTTATGTAGTGTAGTGTAGTGTTATGTAGTGTAGTGTAGTGTTGTGTAGTGTAGTGTAGTGTAGTGTAGTGTTGTGTTGTGTTGTGTTATGTAGTGTAGTGTTATGTAGTGTAATGTAGTGTTGTGTTATGTAGTGTAGTTTAGTGTTATGTAGTATAGTGTTATGTAGTGTAGTGTAGTATAGTATAGTGTTACGTAGTGTAGTGTTGTGTATTGTAATGTTGTGTAGTGTAGTGTAGTATACTATAGTATAGTATAGTGTTATGTAGTGTAGTGTAGTGTAATGTTGTGTAGTGTAGTGTAGCGTAGTGTTGTTAAGTGTAGTGTAGTGTTATGTAGTGTAGTCTTATGTAGTGTAGTGTAGCGTAGTGTATCGTAGTGTAGTGTTATGTAGTGTAGTGTTATGTAGTGTAGTCTTATGTAGTGTAGTGTAGCATAGTGTAGTGTAGTGTTATGCAGTGTAGTGTTATGTAGTGTAGCGTAGTGTAGTGTTATGCAGTGTAGTGTTATGTAGTGTAGCGTAGTGTAGTGTTATGTAGTGTAGCGTAGTGTAGTGTTATGCAGTGTAGTGTTATGTAGTGTAGCGTAGTGTAGTGTTATGTAGTGTAGTGTTATGTAGTGTAGTGTTATGTAGTGTAGCGTAGTGTAGTGTTATGCAGTGTAGTGTTATGTAGTGTAGCGTAGTGTAGTGTTATGTAGTGTAGTGTTATGTAGTGTAGTGTAGTGTAGTGTTATGCAGTGTAGTGTTATGTAGTGTAGCGTAGTGTAGTGTTATGTAGTGTAGTGTTATGTAGTGTAGTGTAGTGTAATGCAGTATATGGTACTTACTATGTTCATGAGGGTGAGGAGGTACTTCTGGATGTTCTCTCTGCCATGGAAGTGGACCACGGAGGAGTCCACCCCCAGTAGAACCTCCATGTTGAACAGCTCATGTTCCTCGTGGGCCTGGCGTCGGGCCCGGGCCCTCCTGGTCCTGGTCCGGTTCAAGTTGTGATGCTGCTGCTGCACTCCTCTGGACAGTGCCTGCAGGTCCATCAGACCACCCAGAACTGACCCTGAACAACATAACAGACAGACACATATATGTATGGGGAAGAAGGTATTAGAGAGGAGTCACTGTATCTAATGGCACTGTACAGGAATGTTATTTAAGCTGGATGATATTAGCTAGTAAAATTAAAATAAATGAAGTGCTGATTCAAATAGGATTATTTTCCAAAAATGGTTTGCTGTATCCTTGTAAGTAATCCAGCATGTGCATGGTAGAAAATCTATTTTGTTTTTATGTATAATTTGGAGGGTTGTCCATTTAATTTTCTATATTAGTCAATAGCCATTCTGGGAGCATACAGACAAATGAATGTGTCTAATTCACGGTGCATAACCTTTTCTATGCCATTTGGAAGTCTTGTGGTAAAACAGGTTGATCTGACAGCTTGTTAAAAAGTACAATCCTCCCCCCCAAAAATTTTACACACACACACGGACACACACACACACACCTCCTGTCAGAGTACATTATTCAAGCACTGTATGAACCTTGGCTGAGAATAGCTTTTCTCCAGCCGGGTTTGAAAGAGAGAGATTCGTTAAAGGCCCAATGCAGCCGTTTTGATCTCAATACCAAATCATTTCTGGGTAACAATGACGTACCTTACTAGCTAGGTTTTTATCCGATTGGCGACAGATTTTCATGCGAATATTCTACAATATGCATAAATAAAATATGCACATTTTCCCACCAGTATTGTGTTTTCACTAAACTGACTTGTTGGGGATAAGAATCAGTGTGTAATGACCTAGTGCACACAAAATGTTCCCTTAGGTTTTCATGTACTGAATACAAATTGTGTTTCCATCGTGCTTCTACACCTGCATTACTAGCTGTTTGGTGTTTTAGGCTGGGTTTCTGTACAGCACTTCGAGATATTAGCTGATGTACGAAGGGCTATATAAAATAAAATTGATTGATTGATTGATCGCATTTTCAACTCTACCGAAAACTGTTGTGTTAAATAGCAAATGTGCCTACTCTGGTCCGGGCACTCAGCTCACAGTTACAGTGCGGGTAGGTTGTGGGTAGGTTGTGCGGGTAGGTTGTGGGTAGGTTAGTCTACATGATGAGATTATTATGGATAAGTTAAGCATCGATCATCATGTCACCAGAATAAGACCCTCAATATTAATTGGAGAGGTGCATCAAGCTCATCACCGTGCACTTTCACCACCCTGTGAAGTTCATCATAACTTATTTCATCTGTAGCCTAATAAACTGCATGGTTTCCAGAGTCGTAGTGGGAGGACCACACACCATATCACCAGCGGTGTAAAGTACTTAAGTAAAAATTATTTAAAGTACTACTTACGTCATTCTTTGGGGCATCTGTACTTTACTTTACTATTTATATGTTTGGCAACTTTTACTTCACTACATTCCTAAAGAAGATAATGTACTTTTTACTCCATACATTTTCCCTGACACCCAAAAGTACTAGTAACATTTTGAATGCTTAGCAGGACAGGTAAATGGTCCGATTCACGCACTTATCAAGAGAACATCCCTGGTCATCCCTACTGCCTCTGATCTGGCGGACTCACTAAACACACATGCTTCGTTTATAAATTGTGTTGGAGTGCGCCCCTCGCTATCCGTAAAAAAAAATGGTCTGGTTTGCTTAATACAAGCAATTTGAAATTATTGATACTTTTACTTTTACTTTTGATACTTAAGTATATTTTAGCAATTAGATTTACTTTTTATACTTAAGTATATTTAAAACCAAATACTTTTAGACTTTTACTCAAGTAGTATTTTTCTGAGTGACTTTCACTTTTACTTGAGCCATTTTCTATTAAAGGTAACTTTTTCCACCACTGCATATCATCAAGTGCCCCATGTTTAAAGGTGTTTCCACAGTCATTTCTTGCATAAATAAAGCTGCAATATGTAACTTTTTGGAATACCTGACCAAATTCACATAGAAATGTGAGTTATAGATCTGTCATTCTCATTGAAAGCAAGTCTAAGAAGCGGTAGATCTGTTCTATGTGCATTATTTATATGCTTCCTGTTCTTAAGTTTAGTTTTTGCGTGTTTTACTTTTGGTTGTGTACACCAGCTTCAAACAGCTGAAAATAATATATTTTGGGTTATGGAAAATATATTTTACAGCGGTTTAGATGGTAAAATGATTCTATACACACTATACTTGCTTGTTTTGTCATATACTGAAATTAGGTGAACTATTCGAATTTTTGCAACCAGAAAACGGCAGAGCGATTTCTGCATAGTGCATCTTTAATTTTACCGATATAAAAAGATCACACCATGTTGAACAAACAAATTATCTGTCAGCATTTATAAACTTCCTGTTTCCATCATAGCTGTCACGATTTTATTTTATACGGTATGACTTTACTCGCATAAAAAAAATTGCTTCTTAGCAAAGAGCAATTTCTCAAGCAATAATTTTGCAAGGACTGTCTGGGAGTGGTCTGAATGGGGAAGGCTGGAAACTAGCCGTTATTGGCAGAGATGTCGCCAGGCAGGCCAAAACTCCATCCCACCAAAACAGGCTGACATTTCAGGCGGTCTTTTCAAACAGCTCTTACACTAAACAGGCATCGTCATCATTTTCAGTATTATTCCAACCTCATAGTGTGGAAATATTAATAAAACACAGGAAAATCTAGTTTTTTGACTGCACTGGGCCTTTAAGACAATAGCAAAATCATGGGTTTGCGCCTAAGAATACACATTCCTTCAATAGTGAAGTGAAAATCATTCTGACATCCTCCCCTGCACATCTGTCTGTAACACAGCTCTCTTTGCCTCAGATGAATTCACACTCAGGTACGTAAACAAGGAGCCATGCCACTCAACCTCTCTCTACACATGCAATATCTCAATGTCTCAACGAGGGTGGGAGGATATGGGTGGAGAAACACCCAGAGACTGAGAGACAGATTGATAGAGAGGGTCCAACAACACAGTTCAGCCACAACTATTGTCATCCTTGATTGTGGACCAACGACAACTTTTTAATAATATTATGCAAACTCTTACTGTAGAGATGAATTATAGCTGTGATAAATTACCTAAACTGCATAATGGGAATACTATGCTATACTTAGCAAGAGGATCTAACAGGGCATCTTTATGGTATGATTATGTCTTTACCATGTACAGTGGAGTCAGAAATTATTGACACCCTTGATAAAGATTAGCAATAACAACTGTATAAAATAAATAATTCAAATACTGAGGTATATTGTATGCTCAAAAATATTGGGAAATTATATTATTTTATACTAATACAATTGCTCAGAGAAAGAGATTTTGTTTAACAAGTAATACTTTTTTTTTTCAAAAAGGTAGGGGGTCAAAGTTATTGACACCCCTATAGATTCTTATTAATAAAGTAGTCAAAAGTGTAATATTTGGTCCCATATTAGCATGCAATGACTACATCAAGCTTGTGACTCTACAAACTTGTTAGATGCATTTGCTGTTTGTTTTGGTTCTGTTTCAGATTATTTAGTGCCCAATTTAAATCAAATCAAATTGTATTGGTCACATACCCATGTTTAGCAAATGTTATTGCGGGTGTAGCGGAATGCTTGTGTTTCTAGCTCCAACAGTGCAGTAGTATCAACAATTCACAACAATACACACAATCTAAAAGTAAAATAATGGAATTAAGAAATATATAAATATTAGGACGAGCAATGTCGGAGTGGCATTGACTAGAATACAGTAGAATAGAATACAGTATATACATATGAGATGAGTAAAGCAAAAATATGTAAACATTATTAAAGTGACTAGTGTTCCATTATTAAAGTGGCCAGTGATTTCAAGTCTAGGGCAGCAGCCTCTAAGGTGCAGGGTTACGTAACCGGGTGGAAGCCTCCTAGTGATGGCTATTTAACAGTCTGATGGCCTTGAGATAGAAGCTGTTTTTCAGTCTTTCGGTCCCAGCTTTGGCGCACCTGTACTGACCTCACCTTCTGGATGATAGCGGGGTGAACAGGCAGTGGATTGAGTGGTTGTTGTCCTTGATTATCTTTTTGGCCTTCCTGTGACATCGGGTGCTGTAGGTGTCCTGGAGGGCAGGTAGTTTGCCCCCGGTGATGTGTTGGGCAGACCGCACCACCCTCTGGAGAGCCCTGCGGTGCAGTTGCCGTACCAGGTGGTGATACAGCCCGACAGGATGCTCTCAATTGTGCATCTGTAAAAGTTTGTGAGTGTTTTAGGTGCCAAGCCAAATGTCTTCAGTCTCCTGAGGTTGAAGAGGCGCTGTTGCGCCTTCTTCACCACACTGTCTGTGTGGGTGGACCATTTCAGATCGTCAGTGATGTGTACGCCAAGGAACTTGAAGCCTTCCACCTTCTCTACCGCGGTCCCGTCGATGTGGATAGGGGCGTGCTCCCTCTGCTGTTTCCTGAAGTCCACGATCAGCTCCTTTCTTTTGTTGACATTGAATGAGAGATTATTTTCCTGGCACCACACTCCCAGGGCCCTCACCTCCTCTTTGTAGGCTGTCTCGTCATTGTTGGGAATCAGGCCTACTACTGTTGTGTCGTCTGCAAACTTGATGATTGAGTTGGAGGTGTACGTGGCCATGCAGTCATGGGTGAACAGGGAGTACAGGAGGGGGCTGGGCATGCACCCTTGTGGGGCCCCTGTGTTTAGGATCAGCGAATTGGAGGTGTTGTTTCCTACCTTCACCACCTGGGGGAGGCCCGTCAGGAAGTCCAGGACCCAGTTTCACAGGGCGGGGTTCAGACCCAGGGCCCCAAGCTTAATGATGAGCTTAGAGGATACTATGGTGTTGAATGCTGAGCTATAGTCAATGAACAGCATTCTTACATAGGTATTCCTCTTGTCCTGATGGGATTGGGCAGTGTGCAGTGCGATGGTGATTGCATCGTCTGTGGATCTATTGGGGCGGTAACCAAATTGTAGTGGGTCTAGGGTGTCAGGTAAGGTAGAGGTGATATGATCCTTAACTAGCCTCTCAAAGCACTTCATGATGACAGAATGATGATAGTC